TCTGACCTGGGATGTCAGGAAAGCCTCCCACATGTAAGACAAAACCTAACACAATGAGGAGAGACCTGCATATGGTGTTCCTGTAGCTGGAGCAACAGACAACATGGACAAGGACCCCGAGGCAGCAGAAGCTGCTACCAGCCAGCACGTGGCATAGGCCTGGCATGCAGTAAGTGCCCACACAAAGTAGCTACTGTAATTGAAAAGAACATGAAGGGCAAATGGATGCAAGGCCCAACAGCTGACTGTCAGTCATGGTTATGGGAATGGTGGGTTTAGGGTAAAGTTTACTTTCTTCTTGATTTTTCAGTATACTTTTTTATAATGAATTGTATGACATAAATAGTCATATTTTGGGGGGGAAAAAGAATGTTCTCATTGTTTACAGACTAGAGTTGGTATTGATTATACCAGTCTCCGGTCTCCCTCTGAAACAGGAAACCAAACCCTGCTGCCCAGCTCTGGACCAGGCACTGAGCTGGACAATGTGACCTTCAACTGCACCTCTCAGTGGCTCTCACAGGGCTCCCCCTACTGGGGGGGGGGGGAGTGAGGGGGAGGGAAACCATCTGCTGGCCTACCCTATGACTCAATTTGGTCCAGTGCCCTCTCATTCCCTCAGAAACCCCCACAGGAGGCTGCAGAACAGCAAGTCAGACCTGCGGCCGGTGAGCCATGAGTTTGACATGCTTGCTGTAGAAGCATCAGGTTAAGTGGGTGGACACAACCTGCCCAGAGGCCCTGGTTCCTAGCAAAGTAGCCTGAGGGAGCACAAATGAAGGCTCAGTAAAAGCTGTAGGAGAAAGGTGGTGGCACTGGACCCAGCCTTAGCAAAGAACACTGACATTCTCCCTCCGACCCCGGCTCCTCACCTAACCTAACAGCTCTTCCCACCGGCACCCTGCCTTGGCGGGGAGAACCGAGGCTGGCTCCCAGGGGTAGAGCAGCCTCAGATAAGTCCCTCCTCAGGACCTGGATTCTTCATGTGAAAATGGAGGGATTGGACCAGATGATCATTATGTCCAGACACCCACCACAGACGGGTCGTAGAAGAGAACTTGGCATGTTTTATCATTTACTGCTTCTGATGCCTCCCCTTGTAGGCCTCTGTCAGTGTCTGTCTCCTTCTCCCTCCTCCCCCCATCTTTCAGGATTCAGTTCATGTATCGTTTCCTCCAGAATTAAGCAAAAGCACGTATCCCATGGTTTAACACAGAGGTAGGCTTCAGGGTGGAAAATAACATTTGGTTTTGGGTAAGTTGAAACATAAGGATTGAGGCTTATCAGGTGACAACAGGGCAAGTGCCATCAGCTTTGTGGTCTTAGAGCAGGAGTGGGGAACATCCAGCTTGCGGGTCTACTAGTAATCATTTGGTCTGGCCCTGCCCAGGCACTGGGGGTGAGTTAATTAAATGTTTGACCAAATATACCTGGCTAATTTTTTGTTGTTGTTAATCCTCACCCGAGGATATTTTCTCCATTGATTTTTAGAGGGAGTGGAAGGGAGGGGGAGCGACAGAGAAACATCGATGTGAGAGGCACATTGACTGGTTGCCTCCCACGCATCCCAAGCGTCCCAAGTGGGGCCAGGGATCGAGTGAGACACTGAGGTATGTGCCCAGGATCCTTCAGTCTGAGGGCCGGTGCTCTAACCACTGAGTAAACCCGGCTAGGGCAGCAGGCTAATTTTTAAGTTGATAATTTTATATGGCTGGAGAAGGATGTTATAAATATCCCTTGGCAGAAAAAAGGTTCCCTATCCCTGTCTTAGAGGATGCAGCTGTCAAGAAGAACGAAGGAGAGACTAAGCCAGTAAACTCTTTATTCGGGGCGCAGGTGAGGAAAGAGAAGTCGGGAAGAGACAAAGCAGACTCAGACCAAGAGCAGAAAACAAGGACAACACAGTGGCCCCGAGGCCTGGGAGGGTCCTCAGGAACTATCAACAGCATTTCCGGGCAGTGAGGGGACAGCACAGGAAGATGTGGGGCTGAGATAAGGAGGAGGAAGGGATGTGGCCAGGGAGGTTTTGCCCCCAGGGGACGTCCAGCAATGTCTGGGGACATTTTTGGTTGTCATAACTGGGAGATGACTACAGACATCTAGCAAGTAGAGGCCAAGAATGCTGCTAAATATCTCACATACACAGACCTCTGCACAACAAAGAATTATCTGGTCCCAAATGTGAACAGTGCCACTGCTGAGGAGCCCTGTCTTAGGGGATACTGGGGGCACCCAGATTTTCCACGGGTGTCACAGATCGTGTCTGGAAGCTCAACAGACAGGAACGACATCCAAGACCATGCTGAACGCACCAATGAAGACATCACTGTTGCCACCAGCAGGCACCCTGGGAGCTGGTCTGGCCACTAGGAATCCCCCTGACCCTGTGGGCCACTGTTTCCACCACCACACGCACACGGTGCATCTGGTTAGTGGTACATCAGTCACTAAGTGAATGCTAGCTACAAGGAGGCTGGACAAACGAGTACCCTAGGGCCTCTGCAGCTCCAGCAGGGGAGTGGACAGGCTCTGCCTACAGTATGACTCAAGGTGGAGTTCCAGGAACAAGTGACCACACAATCCACAGTGCAGCAAAGGGAAGGAGCGGGGAAAGCAGGGCAGTTCTGTTTGTTTCTCTGAAGGTGTCAGATGGGAAAACTTGGAACCATTTGAAGATGGAGAGGAAGAGATCAATCAAGATGGAGAGAGGCTGAAGGTGTAGAAGGAAGAGCCCAGGAGGATGAAGGTACCAGGTGGGGCAGAGGTGAAGATAGGTAAGACTGGACCCCTCTCTTTGGCTGGGCTTACAGTGGGTGCTCAGCAAATCTATGGGACGAATGAAGAACCATCAGAGAAGGACACCTGTCATTGAGAAGCCAGGTCCCAGCCTTGGAGAAGCAGTTCAGATGTTATAGTATTCACTTTGCCAGTGAAGCTACGGAACAGAGAAGGGGTGGACCAGGGTCACTCAGCAAGCCTGATGGGCTGAGACAAGACTCAGGTCTCCCTTGGGCTCTGTTGGTGGTGGTGGTAGGTTCTGGGGTGGTTATGTCTCTCTCCTTTTAAGAAGCAGACCCTGGCTTTGCAAGGTTGAAGAGACAGAGCTAGAAATCCCACCAGAGCTCCTCCCTACTCTGCCTGGGCAGAGCACAACTGAAGGGCAGCTGCTCACTCAGGCCCCTGCAGCTTCCCTGCCTGGTGACCACGGGTCTCCGCTCGCATCCCTCCTGAGCCAGAGAGCTCACTGCCTGACTGATCCAGCTTGGGGCAGCCCTGCCATTACAATGCAGTCTTCTGCAGAGATGCAGCCCATAGGCTGAGGGTCTCCCAGCATTGCCAGAAAGGACAGTTGACTCTTTCCTGTACTTGTTCTATGACTGTCCCCAGTTAGCTGAGGATAGAGATCATGTTACTCCAAGGTCACCTTGGATAAACACCCACCCAGGACACTTCCAGTCCCTTTCCAACACCGACTCTTCGTCAAGGACAGTGCAGAGAATGGATTAGGAGGCCTAAGCCAAGCCCCTACTTTGCTGCCCTGCCAGAGCCTGGGGCTCCCTGATGAAGCGGAACATCCACTAAGGTGCTCTCTACACCTCTCAGGGCCTCTGGTTCCCCAACCCAGGCCCCTCGCCACCTGCCTGGAAAAGGCCTCACAGCTTCCTAGGGCCAAAACCAGCTGTGATTTGCCCAGAGGGTTTGCCGACTTTTATTGTGTCTCCGCAGGGGGCTGGACCTTGTGCCATGTGGCTCAGTGACACAGTGCAGCCAGCAGCAGGCGTGGCACCTCCACACGTGGCTCAGACCCCGGTTCTGCTGCCTCCCCATGGAGAGCAGCAGCCAGCCGAGCATCAGCACTAACCCCCTGGGAGGGTCCAGTCCTGCACCCCTCCTGCCTCCCCCAGCATCTCCACAGAGTTGTGTTTGCAGCACAGGGTCCCCTCAACGCTCCCTCCAGGGAGGCCCCAGGAGGAAACCCAAGCCTCCGCGGCCCAGTCCCTGCAGCTGGGCTCAAAGCCGGCTCCTGGGGGCCAAGCAAACATGGTCTCCCCTCTCACAGGTGCCGACTCTCACCACCAACCAGATGGCACCGCTTCACCTTGGCCAGCTGCCTCCTCCTCTTCCTCCTGGCCCCTTGAACCATGGGCTGCAACGGGGCTATAACTCAGACTGGGATCGCGAAATCCGCGGGCCTTTTCGGATCTCTTTCCGCTTCTCCTCTTTTTTCCGACGTTTCTCCTCTTCTCTCAGGGCCTTCTGGAAAGGGTCGGTGCTAGAAATGAACTGGGGGAAGAGCAGAGTGGTCTGACTCAGTCCACTGGCAGCAGTGTACTCCGAGCCAGGGCACTGCGGGGGACAGGAGGGTTGCTTAGATGCAGGCCCTGCCCTCAGGGAGCCAACGACATGGAGATGGTTAAATGGGCTTGGGGACAAGGCTAAGTGGGTTGAAAGATAAGCAAGAGGCTGACAGCAAAGAGGGTGAGGGGAGGAGGACATTCCGGGCACAGGGACAAGTACCACGGTGTGAACAAGCACGGGCATCAGAGAAACAATAAACAGAATCCTCCCAGAGTGAGGGGCCACGTGCCCGACACCCGCAGACCACCCCCCACGCCCTGGCTGCCATACCCCTGAGGAGGAGGGGAGAGCAGCCAGCGAGAATAAGAGACAGCAGGCATCCTGTCTCGGCAAGGGAGTGCACAGGAAGCAGGTGGATCAGAGGTCAAACTGACAGACCCTGGAAAGGGGGTGGGAGAGAGAGAAGACAATAGTGCCCAGGCTCATGGCTTCATAGATGGTGGATGGTGGATGGTGGTGCCGGTGAGGAAACGGGAACACAGGGTGAACAGGGATGGGAAGAGGAGGAGGACTTTGATTGGGGGCACTCTTCTCCCTCTGCTCTCTCCAAACCCATGGCTTCGGTTATGTCTATATGGCCAGTTACCCCTCAAATGTGCACCTCCATATCTAAGTGCCTGCCTGGCACCTCCACTGGGATGTCCCAAATGTGCCCCCAACTTGGCATGGCTGCATCTCCTCAAAACCCAGTCCCCTTCTAGTGTCGCTGTCCTCATGAACAGTGCTGCCTGACCACACTCTACCTCCTGTCCTTACAAGTTAATTTTCTGGTCCTCTTGGGGGAGATGAGCCGGCAGGCCGCTCCCATACTTTCTGGCTCTGGCTGGGGATGGCCGGTCAAGGGATCCTGGCCCTTCATCCTCAATGGCTCAGCCTCACCAGGGACCCAAACCTAGTTGGGGCAGAAGGGAAACACTGTCCATCCTTTCCTGGATCCCTTTCCCACGAGGCCTGGCTAAAGCCTACTTTAAATTCCTGACACTAAACTCAAGTGCTGCCTGGCAATGGAGCAACTCTCCTACCCCCGCACCATTAGTCCCTCCTCCCTAACGGGTCGTTCCCATCAACAAGCAGACAGGCCAGTCTTTCTAATAGATCATGGCTGTGAGCATGGCCATACACTGAGCCCTAGGGAATCATTAACCTGGGGGAGGTTTGGGAGACCCCTGACACAGCTGTCTATGGGTGACAGCAGCCATCAGCTCCAGTGACAACAATGAAAGACTAGCTGCCACAAAGGCCAGTCAGACAATGATCTGAATTAAAAGCCACCACCACCTTTGCTAGATGATACTCCTAATGACCAAGGATGAGATGGCCATCCATCTTCGGGGCCATGAACTGTGGAAACAAATTGTGGCTGAAAACTGGACAGTCTGGGTCACTCGCTTAGATACCCATAGGAAGGCCCTTTCTCTGATGAGACTGACCAGACCAAACTGCGGATCCAGTCTACCCAGATAGGAGTCATTTCCACTTGAATGCATTATTGTACTAGATGAAGCCACACACCTGCCGCCATTGATGGCATAAAACCCACCCTGTATTTCTGGTTTGGCTACCTGGAGTCCCAGGTTGAAATAATACGGCCCAAGATCATTAGGGTAATGACCAATTGGTTGAGTACGTCCTTGCCAACTGCCCCCACAGTGGCCCATGTGGACCAAGATAGGGGATATGATATGCCTCTGAAAATTTTGTAAAAATGCCCTTGTCCCATTCACATCTGACCCTTCTGGACAAAGATCTAAGTGAAAGTAAGGGATGATCAGTGACAGAGTGACATTATAGGCCCTGGGATATGACACGCTGATCTTGTAGCAATAATCCCAGCGTCTAGGGCAGCCGTGGGCAAACTACGGCCCGCGGGCCGGATCCGGCCCGTTTGAAATGAATAAAACTAAAAAAAAAAAGACCGTACCCTTTTATGTAATGATGTTTACTTTGAATTTATATTAGTTCACACAAACACTCCATCCATGCTTTTGTTCCGGCCCTCCGGTCCAGTTTAAGAACCCATTGTGGCCCTTGAGTCAAAAAGTTTGCCCACCCCTGGTCTAGGGAGAAAATGCCTTAGATCCCCAGAGACACGGGGAATAATCAATCCTTTTTGTGCCTTATGTCCAGCACTGCCACTTGGCAAAACAATCCTAGAGTCTGCCCAAGCCAAGTGGCAGCTGCAGATGACAATCTGACCAGCTGCTGGACATGTCATTCTCAACCACGTGATTACTGAACTATTCTGTGTGCCTGATGCCATCAAAGGCAGCTCCTGAAGTGACCCTGTGCAGACACTCATGCCAGTACGACCTTGTTTCAATCTGACAGATACAAATCCATCTTCTTCTCCTGATGCCCGAGTGGCCTGGGCTTCTATCATGTAGGGCAACTGAGGCTGCAACTCCACAGTGACACTTAGGATTCGGCCAAAGAATGTAATGGTGACCCAAATCCAGTGTAACGTGGGAGACAGTGGGCCACGGAGTATCTCTCCACTAGGGATGAGGGTAGCTGTGGGGTCCATCTACTGCCCTTGTAATTACTGGCAATAACATCAAAGATCAGCAGGTCAGTCTAAACTCTTGTGTGGGTGGTAATGAATAACAGATTGGCCTTAGACCACATCCAATTGTCTAAAATAAAACCTACTGGTCTCCCCAAAACTGATCACAGCCGGCTGAGTCCAGGATCCTGGAGCACATGGCTGAGACCAATACTGCAGGCTGGCCTCATCCTGCGGCTTAGTCCTGTTGATGGCAGCCTTAATTAAATGCAGTCTGAGACAAACTGAAAAAATATGGTTCTAGCCCCTATCAGTCAGAGTAATAGACTGAATAGTACGTTCGTGGAATCTGAGTTAAGCCAAGACATGTAGGGCTGAGGGATGGCCTGTGGAGAAGGCAATCTACGTGGCCTGAGCATCCCTGCGTGTTCTTGCTGGATACACCAAGAACGCAAAGCCCCGACCAATCTGTACCTGGGCCATTTCTCAGGATTGTGCCTGCAGCGAACCTTGAAGGATAAGGTGATGTCTCCCCCAAAACGAAGAGCGGGTTTACTTCTGTTCACTATAAATCGGTAAATTTCCTAAGCGTAGTATTCTTCAGCTATGATGCAAACCCACTGTCTCTGTGGCATCCACCTGAGCCCCTCTGTGTCACTCCTGTGGGACTCAGGGAACAAGGGGAACCAACATGACCAGTCCAACAGTCTAGACCAGGGGTGGGCAAACTTTTTGACTCGAGGGCCACAATGGGTTCTTAAACTGGACCGGAGGGCCGCAACAAAAGCATGGATGGAGTGTTTGTGTGAACTAATATAAATTCAAAGTAAACATCATTACATAAAAGGGTACGGTCTTTTTTTTTTAGTTTTATTCATTTCAAACGGGCTGGATCCGGCCCACGGGCTGTAGTTTGCCCACGGCTGGTCTAGACACTGCTTTTGCTGTAAACTCCGATGCCTCTGACCTGTCGGTATCCGTGCAACAGTGGCAGGCTAGCTTGTTACCCTGCAAGCAAGGTATAAAACTGAGAGCCCTCACCGATCCTGACTCCCCTCCCCTCCTTAGAGCAGGGGCCAGCCTGTGATTTGAGGAGTCCAGTCCTCCAGCCCTTCTTTCCTATCCTTCTGATCCCCTCCTCTCCTCTACTGTATGTGCTCCCATCTGTCATCCTACCAACAGCCTCAGCCCTGAGAGTCCACCTCAGCCCCCTAGAATGGCCACATGTACAGGAATGTAGGATAGGAGCTTGGCTGGGTGATTAGAAGAGAGAAGAGCATGACTTGACACCCCCTGGCTTCCCTCACATCCACCTGATGTGGGTGCCTACTGTTCACTGGGAAAGGTGTGTTCACAGCCTCTGACTGCCCCCCATAGCTGGGGTGCACCATGAATAGACAGGTGGCCTGAGGCTAAGACAAGGGCAATAGCTTGCCCAAAGGCACCAGTGAGTGAGTGATGGTTCCTGGACCCAGACCTGGGTATGTCTGGTTCCAAGTCCAAAGCCCTCACACTCCACCGCAGGCACCCCAACCCCTGCAGGACCTGGCTTCCCGTGGCCCAGCAGAAGCAGAACAGACATGGCCACAAGCCCCCAGAGCTCACCTCTGTGTGGTCTACTTTAAATGGGTTCTGGAAGTCAGAGTCTTTCTCGCTGATCCCCAGCTCCTGGGCCATCTGCAGACGAGGAAAAGTTAGTCATCCTCTGCCTTCTCCTGCCTCTCGCTCACCCCTGTGCCATTCCCTCCACATTGGAACCCAGGGCCCAAGACTGTGGGCCAGGTGATGACCCACAGGGACCCAGGTCAGCATAGAACCCCTTGAGATGGCACCTCAAGGTGCCTTGAGGCTTATCACAGAAAACGCAGCCAAGAGCTGACATTCAGGCCCAGCTGCAGGCAGCTGCGAGGCTCACAGGACACTGGGAGACAGGGCTCCAGGCTGTCCCCGCCCCAGTCCTTACCAGGCTGAGGATGGGCGAGTGGGGCCCCTGGTCAAAGACGCCCGACTGGTTGCAGAAGCTGATGCCCCAGCGGATGAGGAGATTCCAGTTGGAGTTGTGGTCAAAGTAGTGGTGCACGATCCTCGGGAAGCGCAGCACCACGTCGCCGAAGAAGGCCGTGTTCTCCAACACTTGGGAGAAAGCTGGTGAGAGGGACCTGATGAGAGCCCAGGGCAGATGCCCTTCTACTGCCCTCCTGGCCAGCCCCAGACACTCCCCAGACAATGGAGGAAAGCCCACCAAGCCCCATAAGCAGAGAACGGACAATTGTGCTAAGGGCTTTGTGTCCACCAAATCACTGAATCCTCAAACCACCGTTAGTGGGAGATGTGGTGGCCGTTCCCATTTTACCCGGGAGAAAGTGAGTGGCAAATCTGGGCTGTAAACCCAGCTCTGTCTGACTGCAGAGGCCCTGCTCTTTCCCCTGTATCTCATGGCCTGGAAGACTCATTTGCCGTGGGGACCAGAGAAGTGGGTGTCATTCTGCACAGGAGGCATATGCATCACATGAGGCTTTGCTGGGGCTTATGCTCCTCAACTTAGTATCCAAATGTCAAGAGCCTGGTGTTAGCACAACCAGAGTGTCTGTGAGGGGTCAGGTCTGTTAGCATGGCCAGGGAACACAACAGGCTTCGTTTTTTAAAAAAAAAAATTCTTCCAATTTTATTTAATTTTAAATAAAGTACTTATTTTAAAATAATTTTAGACTTACACAATACACCACAAAATCCCTTCACTTGGCTTCCTCTATTGTTATCATCTTACATAACCACTGTACAACTATCTACACCAGAAGTTAACATCAATACAATACATCCATAGACCTTATTTGAATTTCATCAATTTCCCCACTAATATCCTTCCTCTCGTCAATAGATCAGTCTAGACTGAATTTAGTGTCCACCATGGTGGCAGGTCCCCCGACCCAGGCCAGCATGAAGAATAAGTGTAGACCCAGCCCTGGCGGCAGCTCCTGTTCCAGTGCCCGCAGATGAGGCTCAGGCAGACTCCTCCAAAGATATGCCCAGCTGGGTCTGAGCCCCTGGGCTTTGAACCATCTTGCACTCAGGAGTAAGCTTGACTTATAGGTTGAGAGCCAAGTTATACGTATAACTTCCTCAGTTACAGTGGAGACGAGAGATGCTATTTGTAAAAGTGCCCACTATTCAATATGTAAAGGCCACTTCCATCCTCTCTCAGTGTAATCCTAAGAGGTTTTATTGTTAAAATGCCGTCAGTTCATGAGAAAATTACCACCGGAGAGAAATTCTTGGAAGAAGGAATGAAGGGACCCAGAACAGTCTCTTACCTTAGTTATCTATGTTTGTCCCACCTAGTCTCAAAAATGATTTAAGGAGGGTGAGGCTTTTAGAACAGTAGTAAGGAGTGTGGGCAGCTGCCCCCACTGTCCAGTCACTTCAGTAGGCCCGTTTTTTCTCCTGAAAATGCGAACAGCCCTTGCCTTCTCTATCAGGAGGGTCAGGGGTGGAGAAGGCAAGGATCCCTGGAGTGGTAGTGGGCAGAGCTTCCTCCCTGGTTCCCGTGCTCCAAGCACAGGACAGCACAAAGGAATACATTTGTGTCAGGGACACAGAAATTGGCTCTGAAGCCCAGAAATTCTTGGAGAACCGTATACTAAGTGCTTATCCACCAAAGGTGGACACCTGGAAGGTGCCACAAGAGGGTGTTTCCAGAGAGAAAAAAGTGTGACAAAAACAGGAGGGAAGAAACAACCAGAGAAGATCAAGGTGGTGGGGAGGAGCGGGGGAGGCCAGGAAGACCATACCATCCTTCAGTTTCTCATCCTGGGGGAAGGGCCCATCTGGGAGCACGTCCGCAGCAAGGAGCACTGTCCGGGAGTCCTCCAGCACCTGAGGGAACCCCCCTGGCTGAGTGGCTTTGCAGAGGCCTTCATAGCCCAGCCACACCCATTTACTTAAACCCAACTTCAAATCTTTTGTCCCCGCAGTTCCCTCTAATTGAACACCATCCCGTTAAGGAACTCCTACTCATCCCTCAGTGCCCAGATCAAAGGCTAGGCTGCCATGAGCTGCCCCGCGCCTGCAGGCACCTTAAAGAGCCCCTTGAGCATGACATCAAGGATCTTGTACTGCTGGTGAACATCATTCAGCTGTACCAGGTTTTTCAATGCCAACAGCTGCTCCCGTCGCTTTACCTCAAACATCTTCTTGTCTGGGCAGCGTTAAGTTAAGGAGCTGGCACTGATACTTCTGCCTGGATAATCCAGTGGCCCCAACCCAGAAGGCCCATTCCTGACCAGCAAATATCTGCAAAGGCCACAGATGCCCAGGTCTGAGGCCCTCCTTACCAGAGAAGTAACAAACTGAGAAGCGTTTGCATCCTGCAATGTATCATTTGTCCAGTGTACAGAGGATTCTACACCCAAGAGCCTGAACACAACCCTTCAGGACCTAGCTCCTGTACTCCTTCCCCATGGTCTTCCCGCCATCTCCCGCAACTAGTCACTGTCCCCAGAACCTGCGCTCTTCTGCTCACACTGTACACTCTGCCTGGGATGCCCCCAACCCTTCTCTATGAGTTTTTTAAATTTTTTTAATCCTTACCTAAGTATATGTTTTTATCGATTTCAGAGACAGGAAGGGAGAGAGACAGAGAACATCAATGTGTGAGTGAAACATCAATCGGCTACCTCCTATAAACATCCAGGGATCGAACCCACAACCTAGGTATGTGCCCTGACTGGGAATCGAACCTTTTGGTATACAGGTGACTCCAACTGAGTCACATGGCTAGGGCGCCTACGAGCTTTTGTTCTTTCAAGACCTCGCTCAAAAGCCAGCACAGTGTTTCTCTCATGTTCCATCACAGCAGTGATCACAAAGTACAATGTGGGGCCTGTGAAGGCCTCAAAGCCAGGGACTGACTCATCTTTGTGTCCCCAAGTCCTGAACCCACAGTAGGTGGCCCAGAATGCCAGGGCCTGAGTCCCTGCCCAGGGTCTCACCCACAAGGTACTAGGCACATATGTACTATTCTCAGAGTCCTTGTGGCTCTGAGAGATGTAAATTGCCTTCTCTGTTTAACATAATAGGGAAACTGAGGCTCAGAAGGCAGTGGACTCGATCAAGGTTTGATGAGAGTATCTTACCTTTTCTCTCCTATTCCCATCAGCTGGGCCTCATCCATCCCTAGAAAGTCCCCCAGGCATAGCTCATTAACTCCACCTCCAACCCCAAAGGATACAGATCTCCAGGCTCGGGTCCACGGAGGTCCTCTGAGTGTCTGTAACTCCTGTCCTAGACACTAGCAGGACAAACAGGTAGACTAGGAACTGCAAAAGGTCCATATCCACGACCCTGGAGCTAGGAGAGTAATCCAGAGAAAGGAGGTGAGACCTGAGCGTGGTGTTATATAAATAGAATGAGGTGAACTGAACTCCCCCTGACATGACCTAGCTTCCAAATACCAAGAACCCAACATTGGGAAGCCCTGGAGCCCCAGTGCCTAGCCCAGGGCCTGTGACCAACAGACACAATAAAGACCGTGGGATAGAAGGCAGGAGGAAGCAAGGAGACAGCAAGATAAATGTCAGCAGTGGAGGGATACTTAGAGCACAGGGCTCAGTGTCTGGACCTCTGAGCTAGAGCCCTGGCTCTTCCCAGCTGTGGAACTTCAGGCAAACTGCTCAGCCTCTCTGAGCCTCAGCTTCCTCACTATAAAATAAAAATAAGGAGGTCACCACCCTGCTCCAGTGGGGGAGGACTGGGTGAGGCACCTGGGGAAGGTGGGGCTGGTCAGTGTCATTCCTTCTCACCGCCCCCTTCTTCATCTTGGCCTCCCAGGAGAGTAACTGGTCAAGGGGGTCCAAGCAGTCAGAGGGGATGTGAAACTTCTGGTGTTTCCCTCCTTCCCTGACTTCTGTCATCAGAAAGGAAGGGACACAGGGCAGGAAGGGAGGCAGGACGGTCTTGGGGTAAAAGGGATGCTACTCACTTACTGTGGTACCATAGGCACATAAGCCAACACCTATTCCTATTCAGGCAACATTCCGCAGTTATTTGTTGATCACCTCCCATGTTCTAGGCCAGTGATGGCGAACCTATTTTGGTTGATTTTTCTTTGTTAAATGGCATTTAAATATATAAAATAAATATCAAAAATATAAGTCTTTGTTTTACTATGGTTTCAAATATCAAAAAATTTCTATATGTGACACGGCACCAGAGTTAAGTTAGGGTTTTTCAAAATGCTGACACGCCGAGCTCAAAAGGTTCGCCATCACTGTTCTAGGCCCTGTTTTAGAGCTGGGAATACAGTAGTGAGTAAGATAAAACTCCCTGCACTCAAGGTATTTTCCTAGTAGGAGTAAGAGATAACCAATAAACTTGTGAAACAAGCACAGAAGAATGAGAGGGAGTTGGTGGGGTGCAATATTTCAGTGGCCAAAGACGGCCTCAGACTCAGATGACAGGGGCCCAATTTTACTAGTGTGGAAACCAGAAAAGTGAGGTAACTGCCCAGTCACTCAGCTATTCCCAGGCTAAACCGAGTCTAAATGAGCAGTCTGTTTCAGAGCAGACCACGCCAAGGGAGAGATGGTCAGTTACTGACAGGTCACCAGAGAACCAGCCCCACCCACACAAAGGATATAACTGAAACGTAGAGAATGAACAGCTGTGCAAGTTCACCCAGGACTCACTAACTTCCAATGTCACGCTCCAGACTCAAAGGAACCGGATACAAACTAGAGCAGAACTTGGGGCCAGGGGCGTATCAGACAGCAGGTAATGACTGAAGCAGGGGAAGATGGGGAAAGAAAGCCAGACTGCGTGGGGAGGGTTCTGCCTTCTCCACTGTCACTCCCGCTCACCGCCCTAGAGCTCTTCCCAGCTCCGCGAGCTACCCGAACGCATTCTGCAAGAGGCGTGGTGGGGCGGTCCCTGGGCCAGGTCCCTGGGCTCGCGGACCCCGATTTCTGTCCCCAGTCTTTGGGGCTCGGGAGGAGAGGAGTCTTTCCAAAGAGGAGAGGCGTATCTTACCTCCCACTCTTGCAGCCGGTTCGACCCTCGGTCTCCACGCCCCCACCCGGAGCCTACCCGCCCGGAGACCCCACTTCCACCCACCAGGACGGGGGTGCAAAAGGGGCAGCCTGGCAGGCCCTCGGCGTGCGGCTCGCAGGTGCGTCCTGAGACCAGCAAAGGCGCAGATCTCCACGGTACCGGGGAGCCGCAGCGCTGGGACAGCCGAGCGCCGTCCCGCCCACCGCGCCGCTGCTGGCCAATGAGCGCGGGCCGCGCCGGTCGCGCCGGTGACCTCACTTCCGGATCCGCCCCGCCGGGCCCTGGGACTAGTCGCTCGAGAGGTCCACAGGAGAAGCGTTCCTTCCACCCTGCGTCGGGCTCCGGCGCGTGGTGCTCGGTAAAGATGAGGTTGGAGGAAGTGATGTCGGCGCCCGACATAGAGGGCGCGTCAGCACACGGGCCCCGTCCGCCCGCGCCCTCCCCGAAAGTGTTTCGTCAGCGGACTGTTCTGGCAGGATCAGTTTAGTGGGTCATGACTAGCACGTGTGTTTTTAAGTAACCAGCCGTGCGTAGTTGGCACATTCCCTGCTCGCCCCTTTGGTGCACCAAGTTCAAATCTAAACCCAGCTCATCGGGAACTTCCCCGTCGATTCATTAGGGCGGAGTTCAGACCACTTTTGTGCGGGGTCAGGTCCTGAGAAGGAAGGGCGGGCTAGCCAGTTTTGGACACGGGGTCCTCACGGGCAGGCAGGTGGGTGGGCAAGGAGCTAGAAGCCCAGTGGGTTGAACTGGGAACGGGAGAGGCAGTTGTGGAACGCAGATATTAAAAGAACCACACGCCCTAACCGGTTTGGCTCCGTGGCTAGAGCGTCGGCCTGCGGACTCAAGGGTCCCAGGTTCGATTCCGGTCAAGGGCACGTACCTTGGTTGCGGACACAACCCTAGTGGGGAGTGTGCAGGAGGCAGCTGATTGATGTTTCTCTCTCACTGATGTTTCTAATTCTCTCTCCCTCTCTGTAAAAAAAAAATATATATATATATATATTTAAAAATAAAAGAATCACACATGTGGGTATACAAGTGCAAGCTCCACGTTAAAAAAGGAACACAGGGACCTACTTTAACCAGGGGAGGGCTGAGCTGTGACAGTTCGGCTCGCTAGGAAGGCTGAGAAGGATTCGACCTGCTCAGCTTCCTTGCCTGGAAATGACACCTCTCTCCACCTTCACGGGAGGTGAGGTAGCAGTAAAGTACCTCTCAGAGCACTTGGATAACAGCAGCAGGGAACACATGGCCTTTCTCTGCTCCTGCAGCCCTGAGGATGGATGGCCTGGCTAGTGTTTTCTGGGTACAACTGAGGCAACCAGTAGCACTGGTGCTCCTAAACGGGGTAGGGTTGTTAGGAGGACCAATCCTACCCCCTTTCCCTGAGGAGGCCACCCATTCTGGCTGAGGAACCAGCTGGAAGAGACCAAGATAGGTTGAGAGTAAAATGTTTTTGGAGTGCTCACCAGGCATGTGAGTGAATCATTTTATTTCCTGATTCAACAATGGAGTAAAAGGCTCCAGATTAGTGGCTGCAGTTGTCATTCATTTCCCCAAACCATTGTGCCCGACTGTCTTCTCCAGGTCTCAGTCCTCTCCATGTCTGGGCCTTCAATTATTGAGGGTCAGTCTCTGATGTGGGACAGGGATACAGCCACACCTCCCAGGCAGCTGGCAGCAAAACATGAGAGGAGAACAGCAGAGAGGCAGGGCCAACCGTGGGAGAACCGCACTTCCAGAGCCCCAAAAGGGTAAAAGTGGTCAGACGAACAGAGGTTCTCTCTCCTAAGAAGAGTGGGACTAGATTCTAAAATTGGAACCTGAACACCTGGGTTAGGTAGTTGTATACAACAGGGAACTATTCCATGGAAAAGGGAAAGAGGGGGGCCAGAAAGGGAGCCAGTAAGAGCTGGAGGAAGCACCTCCATACCCAGACACACACTTCCTGACCAAAAGTGTCTCTGGAGCCCCACAGCCACCCCAGAGGGCCTCTGCCCACTGCCCACAACCCCAGGCTTTCTCAGAGACATGCAGTCATCCATGTTGGGCTGAGGGAAGCACCTGTGCCGACTGGGCTGGGTGATTTTCTCCAAAACCCCTGGGGAAGGACTAGCTCCTCCCTGAGTTTGGTGATTCGGCTTTGGAAATGGGCAAATCTGGGATCAAATCTGGATATGATCCTGGGCAAGTCATTTAACCTCTCTGGTCTGAGTTAACAACATTAACACTCCTAGATGCTGTGAGGATTAGTACAGTGCATGTAATGTGACTGGCCCTATCTTAATAAATAACAAGTCATTGTCGTTGCTATCACTATTAATTATTTTCACTGACCGCTGCCTGCTTGAGAGGACAGGGCTGTAAGGCAGTATGCCTCTCTGTCCTGAAGCCTGATGCCACACCATCCCATAGCCTGAGTGACCTTGCACAGGCCAAAGCTTCCAGATACAAGAAAGGATACAGCATGTCTTGCAGGGGAGGCTGGGCGGAGGAGGCCCTGGAGGAAAGGCCCTCCAAGGAGGCCTGCAGGGTCTGGGCCATGTTATGATCAGTCAAGAGGCCCATGCTCTGAACCTAAGGGAAGAAAAAGGCAGGGAAAACAGCCCTTCTCAGAGCCTACACCACACAGGCCCTCTTCCCTCCACCCCCTGTACTCCAGACCCCCACTGGCTGCTGTGACCAGAGCTCCCACCCTCCAGCAAGAAGATGGTGTGGAGAGTCTAGCATCACAGCGGCTACATGCATCCCCTCCTACACACCTGCAGGAGGAAGCCACGCAGAGCCTTGAGTGCGGTGTTCGAGAGGGTCGAGAGGTCAGCCAAAGCTGCGCCTTGCAGAACGAGACCCACCTCCTCAGGAGAGAAGACGCTGCTGCTCTGGAACCGCACAAACTGGCCCGGGAGAGAAGCCCCGGACAGGCAGTGATTCCCATCTCCTTCATTCAGTCGTTCCTCCTGTATTCCTGCTGTGCTCAGCACTGGCTGAGTACACAGATCCGGAGCCCCAGCACCCTTCAAGGAGCTCAGAGTTGGTGAGCAAGGGTGGGGTGATGTCATGGGAGAGTGGGGTAAATGAGGCAGACTGTGACACCCTGAGAGTTGGCCCTACTGACCCTTCAGTACCGACCCAACCCCACCCCGCTGCCTTGCACCTCACACTCACGGCCAAAATGGACTGTGTGTGGTTACCCAAACACACCAAGTGTTCATATCCTGCTGCTCTCACTTCACTACCTGGATTACATTTCCTCCTCCTCACTTATTAGTCCTTCAAGCCTCAGCTAAAATGTTACCTTCATGAATGAATGTTCTTTCATTGTATTAAAGGCAGGCCCTGAGTGCCGACTACATTTTTATTCCCAGCTCTGGCAGAGTACTTGCTCTCTCTTTAGTCACTTACTCTCTTCCCAGACCTAGCACTGATACTCACTGACCCGCTTCACTGTCATTCACAGGCTCACTGCTTTGTTGTTTATTCAATGGGCACTGACTGCGCATCAGACACTTAGCATATCTTCTACTCTACCACCAATAACATCACACTTGAACTTGTCCATCTCCTTCTCTAGACTGAGAGATTCTTAAAGGCAGAGCATTTGGCTCATCGGCCCCTATTATAGGACCTGGCATGTGGCGGGCAGGCTCTGATCAATTTTTTGAGTGAGTGAATTGAGAAAGACTGTCTGGCTCTTCTGGGGTGAGGAGATGTGGACATTGGTAGGAATTCTCTGAGCAGGCCTCTTGTGGGATGAAGGCCTGCCCAGCCCCCTCTACCTTCTTTGAGGATTAGGGTTACCTAAAGTAAGGTGTCCCTGGCCTTGGGACCACTCAGCTCACGACATTCTTCAGACCACAAGACCATCCTTACTGCACTTACCAGAGTCATGAGCCTCAAGATCTCGGGTCTGAGGAAGGAATTCTCTCCAGCATCCAGGAGGGTGAACAGTAAAAACCGGTTCCAGGGCTGGGAGGCCACATGTTGTGCTATGGGAAACACCAGTCACCCTGGGTCGTCAATGCTTCTTTTCCAAAGGCCCTGAAACATTACTAAGGAGGACTCTCTCCTATTGGCTCAAAAAGGGCTACTCAGCTAGAGGCAGGGCATTGCACAAGCTGAGCCCAGGAAGTTTCTTTCCTCCCTGGGCTTCTATCCACCTATGCTGCCTGGCTCAGGGAGACTATATACCCCACTATTGTGGGAGGCAAGCAACAGGAAGAGCTCTGCCATTTAAGAGCTTTGTGACCATGGCTGGGTAAGTGGCCTAACCTCCTGAACCTCAGTGTCCTCATCTGTAAACTGGGCATAACAGTGCCCATGCAGTTTTGTTGAAAGAATTACACAAAATGAGTGTGATTCACAGAACAGGGGATGGCAGTTTGGAGCAGGACGTGGCAGAGGCTGGCCTCCTCCCATCGCCCTCAGGGGAACATCAGAGAATGGGGAGGGTTTCTACCCATGTCTGGGCTCCTGGCATGCAGGTAGTCAAGCAAGGCCTCCAGGCAGCCGACACAGGCATGGGACAATAGAGGGTCCTTCTGCAAGAAAACAAAAAACACAAATGTTTATATCAGGTTTTGTTACCAATGGGTTTGATGCCAACCAAGAAAAACAATTTGATTTTCAGAACAATTGGATTTCATAACTTCAGATTTGGGATTGTAGCCCTGTAGGCAATGAAGAAATGTCTGTTTCATCGCTCACCCACACACAGAGCACAGTGCTTACACTAATGATTTACCTACATTCCAGACACTTTTGTTTCAGAAAGGAGATGGGCCCTGGGCCCCACTAAGAGATTCACAGATAGTTTATCTAAGCCAGTGAGTTTCAACTTTTTTTTAAAAAGCAGCTGAATCTTTCATAAAACAAAATTTTATGCTCTAATAAGCATGTGAAAAGATCTCATTATCATAGTCATTAGGGAAATGCAAATTAAAACCACCATGAGATACCACTACACTCACCAATAGCTAAAATTAAAAATTTGATAATATTGCCCTACCCAGTTTGGCTGAGTGGATAGAGTGTTGGCCTTCAGATGGAAGGGTCCCAGGTTCGATTTCGGTCAAGGGCACATGCCCAGGTTGCAGGCTCAATCCCCAGTAGGGGGCATGCAGGAGGCAGCTGATCAATGATTCTCTCTCATCATTGATGTTTCCATCTCACCCCTCACCCTCTCTGAAATCAATAAAAATATATTTTTAAAAATTGTTAATATCAAATGGCCAGAATATTGGGCGACTGAAATGCTCATATACCTCTCTGTTGGAAAGGTAAAATGGTGCAGCCACTTTGGAAAATAGTTTGATGGTTTCTTATAAGGTTAAACATACAATTGGCATATGCGGTAGACAGAATTTTAAGATGGTCCCAGGAGTCCTTGGCCAGGTAGCTCAGTTGGTTAGAGTGTGGCCCCAAGGCAATGTTAGAGCGTTAGAACCCGCCAAGTTTGCAGGTTTGATCCTGGTCAGAGCACATATAAGAATCAACCAATGAATGTATACATAAGTGGAACAACAAATCTCTTTCTCTCTCAAATCAATAAAATTTTTAAAAAGGGATGGTCCCATGACCTTTGCTCCCAGATGTTACCCTGTGATTATGTTACATTAAATGGCAAAAGGGAGACATTTGGGTGGGTCCAATCAATTCATACTAGCGCTTTAAAAGCAGAGTTTTCTCTGGCTGGTGGCAGAAGAACCGGAGAGATTAGAAATGTGAGGACTCAACATGCATTGCTAGTTTGAAGAAGAGGGGCATGTGGGCAACATCAAAGAGCTGAAAGAGGCCCCTGAGGAAGAGGTGGGTTATTTCCCAGATGCCCCAGGTAAGTACCCAGCCGAGCCAATGCCTCATTTCAGACCCTAAGTGAAGAACCTAGTTGAGCCTACCAGACTTCTGCTATAAAGAACTGTGAGATAATAAGTGGGTGTTGTGTTAAGCCATTAAGTTTGTGGTTACCTGTCACACAGCAATAGAAAACTAATACATCATTTTTTAAAAATATATTTTATTGATTTTTTACAGAGAGGAAGGGAGAGAGATAGAGAGTTAGAAACATCGATGAGAGAGAAACATCGACCAGCTGCCTCCTGCACATCTCCTACTGGGATGTGCCCGCAACCAAGGTACATGCCCTTGACTGGAGTCGAACCTGGGACCCTTGAGTCCGCAGGCCGATGCTCTATCCACTGAGCCAAACCGGTTTCGGCACTAATACATCATTTGACCCAGAAATCCCACTCCTAGGTTTTTACCCAAGAGAAATGAAAACATATAACCACAGCAAGACTTGTCTTCAATATTATGAGCAACTTAATTCATAACAGCCAAAAATATGGTCATCCCAAATATCAATAGGTCAATGGATAAACACATTGTGCCATAGCCATATAATGGACTACTGCTCATCAATAAAAAGAAATAAAGTAATGATACACACAACAATATGATGAATCTCAAAAGCATTAACCTAAGTGAAAGAAGCTGGACACACAAGACTACATACTGTATGATTTCATTTATATGAAATTCTAGAAATGGGCCCTAACCAGTTTGGCTCAGTGGATAGAGAGTTGGTCTGCGGACCAAAGGGTCCCGGATTTGATTCTGGTCAAGGGCATGTATTTCGGTTGGGTTGCAGGCTCCTCCCTGGCCCGAGCCCTGGTCAGGGTGCATGTAGAAGGCAACCAGTCAATGTGTTTCTCTCACATCGATATATCTCTCTGTCTTTCCCTCTCTAAAAATCAATATAAAAATATCCTCGGGTGAGGATTAAAAAAAAAAATTCTAGAAATGGTAAAACTATAGTGACAGAAAGCAGATTGGTGTTTGTGAGATTCAGGAATGGGGAGAGGGGACTGACTTCAAAAAGGCAAAAGGGCCCTAACCGGTTTGGCTCAGTGGATAGAGCATTGGCCTGCAGACTAAAGGGTTCCAGGTTCGATTCTGGTCAAGGGCATGTACCTTGGTTGCAGGCACATTCTCAGTAGGGGGTGTGTAGGAGGCACCTGATGGATGTTTCTAACTCTCTATCCCCCTCCCTTCCTCTCTATAAAAAAATCAATTAAAAAAAATTTTTTTTAAAAGGGCAAAAGGAGCCCTAGCTGGTTTGGCTCAATGGATAGAGTGTCGGGCTACAGACTGAAAGGTGCCAGGTTCGATTCCAGTCAAGGGCACATGCAGGCTCCAACCCCAGTGGGGGGCGTGCAGGAGGCAGCCAATCAATGATTCTCTCTCATCATTGATGTTTCTATCTCCCTCTTCCTTCCTCCCTGAAATCAATAAAAATGTATTTTTTTTAAAAAAAAAAGGGCAAAAGGAAACTTTTTGGGGTGATGGAAATGTTCCATAGCATGAGAATTAACATCCACCTAATTCTACACTTAAAAATTAATGGAGCCCTAACAGATCTGGCTCAGTGGATAGAGCATAGGCCTGCGGACTCAAGGGTCCCAGGTTCGATTCTGGTCAAGGGCATGTACCTTGGTTGTGGGCACATCCCCAGTGGGGAGTGTGCAGGAGGCAGCTGATTGATGTTTCTCTCTCATCGATGTTTCTAACTCTCTATCTCTCTCCCTTCCTCTCTGTAAAAAATCAATAAAATACATATTTTTAAAAAATTAATGGATTTTATTGCATGTAAGTTATAGCTCAATAAAACAAATTTTTTAAAATGTAAAAACTAAAACTAACCAAAAAAATCCTATGCTCTCCTTTGAAAGGCAGCAACCTGATGGTTAAGGGTATGGGGCAGACTCAGATTTGAATCCTTGCTTAGTCACTTACCATCTGTGTGATCCTGGCCAAGGTTACTCAACCTTGCTGTGTAGGAATAAAAAGATGGCCTGGGTTGCTGAGAGGTTAGATGAGAAATGGACATAGTGTTTAACCAGTGCTTGGCACAGAGTAAATACTCAGTAAATGGTGAATATCTTAGTGGAATGCATAACAGGGAAGCATGCCCCCACTTTAACAAGCCCTGGGTCTCTTGCACAGAACCCCTATGGCCTCCAAGGTGGACGTGGTTGAGCTAACCCAGTGGTCAGCAAACTGCTGCTCGCGAGCCACATGCGGCTCTTTGGCCCCTTGAGTGTGGCCACGAAGTTTCAATCGCACTGTACGTGCGCGCCCGCACGTGGTATTTTGTGGAAGAGCCACACTCAAGGGGCCGCAGTTTGCCGACCGCTGAGATAACCCACTCACCTCATTTTACAGCAAGAAAATGAGGCCCAGAGAGAAAATACTTGACCTGAGGATACATGGATAGTAGGTGGCAAGTCAAGAACCAAACCCTTGGCCTTGTAAAAATATATAATAATAATAATATAAATGGAGCCACTTAAAATGCAGAGGAACTGCCTTGCAGGTCTCATGCTTCGAGCTTTTGGAATGTGTGACAACAGGGCAAAATAATATTTTGACTGGGCCCAAAGCAACATTGTGTCCCAAAGAACTGTTTGTAAAGATGACAAGAAAGCAGATACTATGTCTGAGCACCCAGGCAGTGGGTGGAGGTAGCAGACTGATGGTTATCGACTAAAAATTTAAAACGTTGTTTAGAATTATGTTAGGTTATTGCACCAATAGAAATGCCTTCCCTCTATGGGTGTAATTGCTCCCTTCCCTTTCTCATAAATACCCTTTGCCTCCTAATTGGAACCCTGTTTAGATTTCTGCCTGAATCAGTGCTTCCCGAAAAGCTGTTCTTTTTTAAAAATCTCAAATAAATGCTTGTTGGCTTTCACTTTGAAAGGTCTTTTTCTTTTTAGGTTAACAGCTTTGTGCCCTTTCTCCTTCTCTGGCCTAAAATTCACTCTTAACCAGTGGGCACTTCCAGCCTCTTGCCACGTACGCAGGACCACACAGCCATGGGCCAGCATGCCCCGGCCTCCCACCTGGTGAGGAGCTGTGGGCACAGTGCCACCCTCTGACCGTGAGTCCTATCACCCCATACAACCAGCAAGGGCCCCCTGGGTGATGGGCGAAGAGGTAGGGCCACTGGGCGTTAGGAAAACCAGGGATTACCATTCAGGTAACAATGGCTCCTGTTCACAAGAGACACGTCTTGGGACACTGAAAGAACATGCGTCTTGTAGCCAAGACAGGTTTGAATCCTGACTAAAATGTGTGACTCAGGCAAGTTACTTAGTAGCTCTAGGACTCTGTTTCTTTGTCTATAAAACTGAGATGATCATTTCTACCATACAGAGTTGTAATGAATGAATAACAGGTCAAGTGCTTACTCAGGAAAGGTTATCTCCCCATCCTCCCCACCTCCTACTCTCCTAGACCCTTAACTTGACATCAACATCTCCTTGTAGGACTGACCCTTGCACTCAAAGCCTCAAGTCTTGTAAAACTAATTAGTTCCCTGATTTCCAATCTGATAACACATTCCACTCCCACCTCAATCAGAAAGCCAAGTCTGAGCACAGAGGATATGTCTCAGGCCCACCCTTGCCCTCCCCCAAGACTCCCCAGGGATGTCGCATCTGCACCGGAATCAGAGGAGTAAGCCTGAAAGAGCTTCTGACCAAGACCATCTGGCCCTGGTTAGAAAAGTATAGAAAGCAAAACCAACCAGTCCAGAGAGCCTCATTCTGAACCTCCAGGTGCAGGGCCAGATGAAGACACGTGGCTGCTCTGAGCAGGCTAAGCCTCTGTACCTCTTCAAACCGGACACTTGTCAATGCCTGTTTAATGCATACTTACACGTGTGTCTGAGCACCCGGGCAGTGGGTGGTCAGCACACGTCATAGCGAGGGGTCAAACTCCCAGTCGAACTCCCGGTTGAACAATTTGCATATTAGGCTTTTATTATATAGGATTATTGATTTCAGAAAGGCCAAGTGGGGATCAATCCTTAAACATAATCTTGCACAATCAATAGCCATATCATACTAGTGCAGGCATTATCTGGGCACCGAGTGGAACCTACTCTAATCAAGGCCCCTCTTCTCTCCTAGGAAGTCTCTGCAACTCTTCTCACTCATTTGCTGGCTGCCCCACCTCGCTCTTCTTGCCCTATGAGTACCTCGCCATCAGATCAGACCATGTGGACCTGTGACTGTCTGACTTGGGCAAGTATCGAAGGGCAAGAAAGGAGAGTCCAAGTCTAATTAAAACAGCATAAATGTCTGGGACCTTGGTCACCCTACAGTGTGACCAGCTCATATATAAAAATAACAGACAATAAGCTCCTTGAAAGGGAAGAATCAAGGGCAGGAAATATGATACAAGGCCAGGGACAGGGAATGAATCGTATCAGAGACTGAAATGGTACTGCTGTCCGGATCTCTGACGCCCCGGATCTCTGCCATTGAGGACCTAGGACAAGTCATTTGGTCTCTGTAGCCCAGTTCAAGCACCTTCCCCGGGAAGCCTTCTCTGATAGCCAGCCCCACACTCACCCTGCACCAGCCTATTAGTTACATACTGGGCCCCACAGTGCAGTGCTCTAGTCCAGCCTTGACAGCACTGTGTTATCACCCCTGTCTACAAGGCACCATCCTCCCTCCAACTGTTAAATGCTCAAAGGCAGGCTCCTGACTTATCTCCATGCCCCCACCACCCTTCACAGTATATGATGGCTGGATAAACAATGATCTCCAAGAACCCTCTAGGCTGTAAAACACAAACCCCTTTTGGGTGGACACCTACTGTTTTTGCTTGTCCAGGCTCTATTCTTCCTTCTTCTTGGAACAGTTTTATTTTTCAAACCATGCCTCTCTCATGTTCAGTCCATGTGGGTTATGGAGAGCTGACCATAACCTCCAGGAGAGGGCACTGACCCAAGCCAGGCCTATGAGAGCATCCCATGCCTCAGCCACAATGATTGGCACTTCACCCAAGCCAGGCTAATGAGACTCAACTCTAGGGAAAGAGAGAAACCTCCTTTTTGCTGGAAGGATATAAGCCAGGAGCAGCTGTGGGTCATCCTGCCATCCCATGACAATAAAGCCAAGCGACTGAGGCAGTTCTAATGACATTGTCTGAGCCTCTGGGACCCAGTTGTGCCCGAAGCCAGTACTGACCCCTGAACTTCTCAGTTATGAACCAATCTGAGTTTCATTTCTAAACTAAAACAGTTTCATAACTAAACCCTACAGTGACCAGCTCACCATAACCTTAAAAGTTCCAAATCAATCCAGGCTTTGAGAGGCAGCCACTCCTTCCTGCTCTTGTCCTGGGTGAACAGGCTCCAGTACCAGGGCTCACTCAGCAAGGGCCTTACCTGCACCAAGAGGTTCTGCAGTCCAATGACCAGGGACAGCACTTGTGATGTTCCCAGTGGAGCTAGGACAGTGTCCTCAGGGGCTTGCAGTGGCCGGGCTCCTGAGGGCACCAGAGTCACCAGGGCAGAGGAAAAGCTTTGCTGCAGGGCTGTCCGCAGGAAGCGCAAGAGAGCAGCTGAAAGCAAGAAACCCCTTACACCCAGTCCCTGCCTTCTTCCCCACCTCCACCAGCTCTGTCAGAAGAGGAAACAATGGAGAGAATAATGGGTGACCATAGGCTGGGCTGGGAAGGGTGGTCCATCTCAGAATCCAGAGGAAGAGCTTTTCTTTTACTGCTACCGCCCCTGGGCCCACACCTGAGAGCAGCGTGGCCTTTTTCTTTGGAAAGCTGAGGGCCTTCAGTACTTGGTCCAGTTCCACGGACAGTGTCTGGTGAACCTGGCAGGGCAGGGGGTAAAGGGTAACTCCCATATTCTGGGAGCTTGGACAGAAAATAACCTACCCCAGTATCAGTTTACCCACGCACATACCAGCTGCATCAAGGACAGAGGAGGCCACACAGAATCTTGTGGCCTCGCCAGCCCTGGATTCAGGAACGCAAGGAGGGAAATCAAACCTTCCCTGGAGAATCCCGTTTCTCCCAAATCTCCCCCATCCTCAAGGACCTCCTCCACTAGGGGACTTCCCTGGCCTCATCGGTGGTTCAGTCTCCACCTTAATCCACCATCCAACTAACTTAGATCCGGAGTCAGATAGCCCGGAATCAAAATCCTGGCTCTGTCACTGGCCGCCTGTGTGGATGTGGGCAAGTCACTGCACTTACTTGCCTGCCTTACTTCCTTCATCAATGAAATGGGGACAATGCACCTACTTTCACTTCCTCCAGAGCTATTGTGAAGAACAGACTAGGAACAGCACTGGTGAATGTGCTCCTTAACATCAAAGCAATGACCAAACAGGGGTTAGGAGGGGTGGCGGGTTCAAAGCCTTGAGCCTGCTCTACATTCCTCATTCAGAACAGGAGCTGCCTGGAGGCAGGAACTACTCTGCTCAGATCTATCTCGCTCTGACGCAAAGCAGTTCCTTAAAAATGCTTGTTGGCTGGTGGAATCGGCAGGTTCTAGGCAGAAGGTTTGATAAAGGTATGGAAATTCCAAACTAGTGTCAGATGTTAATAGAGGAAAGTTTGTGAGGGTTATATGGGCACTCTTTGTGCTGTCTGCTCAATTTTTCTGCAAATCTAAAACTGTCTTAATAATTAAGGCTATTGAAAACCGATCAAAAACAAACAAACAAAGGTCTGGAGATGTGAAAGAGCACAGTTGACTGAGAACAGAGACCAGGGCAGGAGGTGGAAAGCAGAAAGTAAGGCTGCAGAGGGGCGAAGTAAGCAGGGTCTCAGCAGCCACGTGCAGAACCAAAAGCCACAGGAGTGTAGGCAGCAGGGACGTGTGGACAGACTGTGGCTGTGCGGGCAGATGTGGAGGAGGGGAGAGGCTGGGGGCGCGGAGATGGTGAACAGGCCGCGTTAGCGGTGAGGATGAACAATCAGGCCTAGGCGCTAGGCAGTGGGAGGCCTTAGAGTGAAGGTATTAGGTAATTGCTAGGTGTGAGTTGAGGGCCAGGGCAGAGCCAAGGCCAGGCTTCCAGCCAGCAGGTAACCGCAGGCATATAGGGAGGTCCAACAGCTTCACACAGCAGAGCAGGGAAGGTTCTTGCACACTGCAGATCTGCTGTAGCATAGATCCGCCACAGATTGCTGCCGCCCTAGAGGCCAAATGTTAAAAGTGACTTCACTCCTACATTACTGAGTGTGTGCCTGGCACTAGACTGGCACAGGGCTGGGCACAGTGTGAGGACATCTCGAAGACTAGGAGATGGCTTCTGTCCACAGGGAGCAGCCAGCCTTACAGAGGAGACACCCGAAAGTACAGCAGCCCACAGAGGAGCTCTGCAAGGCGCTGGATGACAAGTCCTACCGGCGGAGGGCTGAGAGGAAAGGAGGGGCTTTGTGGGCATGGCTGCAGCTCCCTGGTTCCCTGCATCACCTTCTCGGACAATCACAATGACAGCTTGCCACCCAGCACTTCAAGGTCACAGGTAGGCTTCTGCCTTCCTATCCAGCCTAAGAGTCCACTCCATACATTCCAGCTACAGAATACGCCCCCACTCTCCAGATATGCACACCCTGTCCTACATTTGTGCGGCTTCATGCCTTCCCCATATTGTTCTCTTTACCCAGAATGCCTTTCCCCACTATCTTTACCTACAAATACATGTTCCCCCAGGTGGGGGGAGGGGTGTGCTGCATTCATTAATTATTCCTCTGTGTCTAGAATACAGCCTGGCATGTAGGTGATCCAGGTGTGCTAAATGGATTAATATAAACTTCCTGACAACAACTCTGGATGTATTTCTGCACAACCCCCCCGCCATTTTGTAGGCAAGAAAACTGAAGCTCAGAAAGTTAAATATCTTGCCGAGGTTACACAGCTAATAAGCCATAGATCTGGAACCAGACCTCAGAATCTTTATGCCACCCAGCAGGTGACGGCAGGCCACCAAAGCCACCGGGTTAGAGACTAACCTGGAGACTGCCATCATGCTGCTGGGCAGAAAAGGAGGCAGTGAGCAGCCAGGCAGAGCAGAGCAGCGTGGTCCTGGGCGAGCCCTCCCCCGCCCAGGTGAGCGCCAGCGTCTTCTCCAGGAGCTTGATCAGAGCTGTGCTGCTCAGGAGCACTGCGGCGGCTGCAGAGGGTCCACAAGGCAGGGCCACGTGAGTTAGTTACACAGGAGCCCCAGCTCAGGGCCACCGATGCTGAGTTAGCACCCGAAGAGGGCTTCACGCACACAGTGAACGGACCCAGGGATCAGCTGGAGCTCCTAAGGGTCCCAGCTTCATTCCAGAACCACAGGTTATCAGAAGCAGAAAGGACCTTATGACCATCTGGTCCAGCCACATCCCCATTTATTTTTTTAAGATGGAAAAACCGAGGGCAGCCAGGGCCACAGACACTGCCCAGCACCCCTCCTCTTCACTACCACAGCCTGGGCCCCAGCACCTCTTTTCTGACTGCCCAGGGTGGTCTGATGAAGGCTCCAATACAGGAAGTTGAAGGAAGGCTGCAGGATGTCCATGTCCGTGGGGCTGCATTTCCCACACAGCTTGCTCACTGCAAAAGATGAGAGTCCCCACACCCATCGCGCAGCGCTCTGGCTTTAACGCACATCAGCACTCACACTGCCCTCAGATGACGATTTCAGTCTCGGGACCAAACACAAACCAAGTCTCCTCAGTATTACAGCCAATGAGAGGAAACACAGTGAGAAGCCCGAAGGCATCTTCACACCCCCCATCTGAACAAACACCTGGAAAGCAGCCCACAGCTGCATTCGAGCGGACTGCACTCGTTTAGGTGGTCCAGGGCATCCTCTCACAGCTCATGCCAGCACAGACTCCAGGTGGGAGGGTGTGCAGAGGTCATCCAGGCCAACCTGCTACCCTTAACAGGAAGAAGACCCAGCCTCTGCATTCTCCCAGCAATGGGGCACTAACCACCTTCCCGGGGGAGCTCTGTAACCATCCAGGTGCAAAGCCCTGAACTTGCCATATTCTCTCTCTCTCATCACCCCCATCGGACTAACTCCTTAATTCCAAGTTCACCTCCCCCACGAAGCCTTCCTTAACCTCTCAAGTGCCTTACCGTGCTCCCGCAGCCCTCATCAGAGCAGTTGCTACACTGTAAACTAGACTTCTATAGGACACATCCCTTCCCTCTGGGGAACTGCCACTCCTGCCCCATGACCCCAATATAAAACCTGCTGTGTGCCAAGCACTGTGTGGAATTATATACCTACAGTTACTCCTTATCTTAACCCTAAATCAGGTCATACTATTATTTTACCTGTGAGGAACATAAGGCTCATAGGAGGCGAGGTGATTGTCCAAGGTCGTATAGCTAGTGATTAACCTAAGAACAAACCCAGGCCTTCCCAACTCCACTGCTTGTGCTTATCACATAATTTTATATAAACATCTATTTTGGGGAGTGTTATTTCACTCATAGGGAATAATCAGAGAGAGATCTGAAAGGTCCCTTAGCAAGAAGCCCACAGGGATGAAAGGAGGGAAGAAAGGAGCGCCCTGGCACACCCAGCCCAGGCCTTCAAGCTGGCACCTTGGTGAAGGAGCTTCATGGCCATGCTGTCCAGTTCCTGTTCCGACTCGTTCCTTAGCTGCAGGACCGAGAGGAGGCTCAGCAGCAACGGCAGGTTCCCCAAGGCTGTGAGGAACAAGAGGGCTGGTCAGGGGTCTGACGCTCAGATCTCCTCAAAGTCAGACAGGTACCCATGGGCTGTAAAAGGTTTGTTGGGATTTATTCCTACTTCCTGCCTTCTTCCTTCTTCATTGGGCACAGGGGCAACTGACATACTGAGGGCCAATATGTGTTCGGTGCCAGAAATTCACTATTTCACTTAATCTCCTTAAAACCATGTGAAACAGGGATTTTTATTCCTATTTTGCAGTAAAGAAAATTGAGGCCTAGAGTGGCTGAGTGACTTCTTCAAGGTTCCACAGCTAATAAATGGCAGGGCCAGGACTTGAACCCAAATCTGAACCCAATGCTCACAGTTTTTCCACTACCTGTTTCCACAGAATCTCATGGCTCTTAAACACTGTTGTCAGTTAGATGGGGCTCCTCCTTCCTTGCAAAGGAAGGACTCAGCTCCTCCAGGCACCCTTAAATCTATTTCTACCCGCCCCCCCCCCCAAATCAGGACTGGACCAAGTGCAAGTGCCACAGCTCTCCTCCAATTTCCAAGCACTAACTTGCTTGGAAATTTAATTTAAAAATTCAACTTCCTAAAAACAGGGAAAGACAAACCAATCTCAACCTTTGCAGTGTCTTCATACTGTACCAAACATCAAGCTTCCTTGGCTTCAGGGAGTCCCATTCCAGATTTGGAAACTATCCTGGATTTCCCTGGAAGCTTCTAATACACCACTGACCCTCCCCCTCCCCAGCTCCTGCTGGCTGCTGCTGCCTCCCTGGCCTCCCCCACAACTCCAGCTTTCTTTTCACCAACTGGAGGCTGCCATTCTTGTGACTAACAGCTCTCAGCACATGCCGTGCAGGGTGGGGACATGCACCCATACTTAAACACACCCACCCATGCTAAACACACAGTCATTAAACATAAAAACACTCACACACACACACACACACACACACACACTAAACCAAATACGTTGAGCACCCACCCACCAGTGAGAGGGAGCAGGTAAAGTTTAGTTTGATGCCACACTCGACTGACTTATCTTTTGCAGAGAAAACTTTGCTTCTCTCCTGGAGCAGACCTCTTCAGGGCAGAGAGGCCCATGTCTTACTGACCTTTCAGGTCAAAACGTGCCCCCAGCTCTGCAGACTGACCTTCTAATGGCGAGTCCCCATACTCCACCAGCAGATGCTGTAGGATCAGCAGGAAGTGACCTCGGATGAGACCACCCACTTGGACGTCCTCATTCCTTCTCAAAAAGGTCCTCAGGACAATCAGTACCTTGCGGGCTATATCCACGGGGCTGGAAGAGATGAGATCCTGAGCAGGAAAGAAGACAGTCAGAGCTCAAAGGGCATCCTGGTTAGAGACCGTTAGACAGTCGAGAAGAGAGGGGTTGGGAAAGGGCTCGGGATGATGGTACCACAGAACCTGGGGAAAGAAGTACTCACTGAGTCAGCACCCATTATGTACCAGCCTGACATCCTGTAGGTCCCTTCTAAGCAGGAGGACACAGAGGCTTAGAGAGGTTACAGGATGTAGATGAAAAAGGGGCCACATAGGAAATCTGACATGCTCAGGGAAGGCCAGCATGGCAGGCCCTACAAACTCAGATCCAAGGTAACCACATAGGATGGTCTGGACTTAAAAATTCCTAACTAAATGCGAGTCCTGGTGGGTAGTCACATCCTAGGCCTGTAGCTTCCTTGACAAAGGTCAATCTTTACCTTAAAAGTAAGCCTCTCTATTGTCTTTTAACAACTAAAGCAGCATGCCTTTGAAATGTCAGAGTAATCTCCTTTTCCACATCCCTCAGGGCACACATGCCATCTTTACCAGTATGTGCTATAACTGTTAACTATCTCATACCCAGCAATGGAAAAGAACTATTTCTCTCTCCGTTTCACTTTTTATCCAATCCCAGAGACTCCCCCTGCGCCCCCAGCCCCCACCCCCATTTGATTCCTCCCGCCCTTCTAAATCCACCAATGGCTTTCATGTAACCTTCCTTATGTCTTCTTTGATTCTAATGTATAAGATAAGCTGCAGGACGTATTAGGCCCTAACTGAGTGGTTGCTGTTAAAATTAGAGTTGTTTCTCTGGCAGCTGTGGAGGTTTGTGAAGAGCCAAGGCCAGACACTGTGCCACCCAGCGATCAGCACATCTGATCAGCACATCACCATTCCCCGGAGCACTTCTCAGTGCATTGAGATTTTGCTTCCCAGTAATTGTCATCAGTTTGGCTCAAATAAACTCATAAAAATTCTCCACAGGTCTGGACATTTCCTACATGGACAATGATATGTCAAAGGCCTTGGGCCCTGTGACCTTGGGAAAATCACACATAAACCGCCGAAACCGGTTTGGCTCAGTGGATAGAGCGTCGGCCTGCGGATGGAAAGGTCCCAGGTTCGATTCCGGTCAAGGGCATGTACATGGGTTGTGGGCACATCCCCAGTAGGAGATGTGCAGGAGGCAGCTGACCGATGTTTCTAACTCTCTATCTCTCTCCCTTCCTCTCTGTAAAAAATCAATAAAATATATTTTTTTAAAAAAAGGTCACATAAACCAGTATGTGGCACAGCTAAGATTTGAAAGCATCTTCACCTAATTCCAAGCCCAAAGCGCTTTCTCCTTTCTAGGATGCCTCTCTCATGCAAATGGAAGCATCAGGGTCAAGAAAAGGTTATTTCAGGACAGCAGACCTGAGTGTGCCTTAAGGGAAAAGAGGACAGGGGGCTGGAGGTGCCACTTGATGGGTTAGGGCAGACTCAGAGGACCAGGTCAGGCCTCTCCTCTACCATGGCAGTCTGGCTATCTGTGCTCCAAGCTGCAAAAGCCTTGGGTTCAGAAGGTGGGCAAGGACATGGAGTTTATTCGCTTTCACAGTCATTTTAACGAGTATTTGTTAAAGGCACAGCCAGTCAGAAGCTGCGCCCCCGGCTCTCCCACTGATAACTCCTGGCACCTACCAGCTCCAACAAGCCAATTCCTTTGGACAGTTAGGGCTGAGTGCTATGAGCCCAAGGTCACACACAGACTCTCTTTCCAGGAAGATCAGCTCCTGACGCGCAGAAACATGACTACAGGGCTCCAGACCAGACCGCTCCAGATGTGCTGATCACTGGATGGCAGTGTCTGGCCTTGGCTCTTCACAAACCTCCACAGCTGCCAGAGAAACAACTCTAATCTCAATAGCAGCCACTCAAATAAGGCCTAAAACTGTCCGGTACTATGCTGTATTTAAATAGCAGCTGAATGTTTATCTGTCCTCATAGTAACTCTTCCAGGTAGGTGTCACCCCAACTTTTCAAATGAGGAAACTGGGGCAAACTAAGTAATCTGCCTAGCAAAAAAGCAATGGCATGGTACCTAGGAGTTAATGAAGGAGTCAAAGCAGTGGCATGGTAACTAGGAGTTAATGTCACCTTGTAGGGTTGAGAAAACATCTCTGGAAGGAGAGGATCACAGAATGGGAAGGCTAGGGAATCTCAGTTCATTTCCATCAACCCTTTTACTTCACAGAATATGAGCCTGAAGCCCAGAGGGGGTGTGATTTTCCCAAGGTCACAGGGCCCAAGGCCAAACCAGTTTCCTGGTCCTCCTCTACCAACAGCAAGTGCCTGCCTGATTGCCAGATCTGGTCCCTCAGAAACCTGAGTTAGTAGATTTTTTTTTTTTAAATATATTTTTATTGATTTTTTTACAGAGAGGAAGGGACAGAGATAGAGAGTTAGAAACATCGATGAGAGAGAAACATCGATCAGCTGCCTCCCGCACATCTCCCACTAGGGATGTGCCCGCAACCCAAGTACATGCCCTTGACCGGAATCGAACCCGGGACCCTTCAGTCCGCAGGCCGACGCTCTATCCACTGAGCCACAGAAACCTGAGTTAGTACATCTTAAAGGCCCAAAAGTAAAGGGGCTACTCAGCCTTTGGTGGCCATGTGAATGCCAGGGGAATGTGTGCGCCCCGCACATGGGCCAGTGGGAAGGCTCTGGGCAGAACACAGCCCGCTCTGTAATCTCTCCTGCTCACAGCTGTCAAGAGCTCTCTGGGCCTGGACCAACCAGGGTGCCACAGCCAAGCAGGGAGCAAACAGAGCGTCTGTGACATCATTGTTTTTTCACATCTAAACCACCTACACGAAAGACCACCCATTGATAAGAGTGGCAATTAACAGCGTTGTTTTCAGTTGTTAATTACCCATATCGAAAACAGAAATTGGTACCAACACATATTTTTAGACTCTTTTCCCCTCCTGTGGCTACAAGTTGGGGGAAAAATGGTAGAATTATATATATAACAGACAACTAAGTTGTTCCTTACTGTTTTGTTGTTGTTGTTACCACTGGTGTTTTTAGGATCTGAGTTAGTGCAAAACTAACTTTAGGCTCCAATCCTGGTCATGACCCTCATTAGCGATAGGACCTTGGGCAATTCAATGAGCTCCTCTGAGATTCACATTCTCTGTGGTCCAGTCCGGATCCAGGTGGAAGACACCCAGAGCAACCAGGACTTGGAAAGCCTAGAGGGCTTAGACTCTCCAGCCACTCCCACAGCCAGGGTGCTGTGTGCAGCACACCACGAGTGTTCCTGCGTGTTCTTTCTTTTATCCTCCCCTTATCTCCATTTTACACGTTGAGAAATTTGAAGCTCAGAGAAGCCTCCATCTTTATAAGTCTCTACAAGGTGACAGAGCATTTGTGATTTCCTCGAGGGCAAGGACTGACCAACCTTAACTGAATTATCTTTGTACCGGAATGCCTATTGCCTAGTAAATACCAAACAGATGTATGATAAAGGAAAAGTGAATGACTGAAGTCAAGGCCTCTAAAAACCTGCTCCTTTCTGTCTTTCTCCAACCTCATCTCCTGCACCATATCCCACAAGCTCAAGAACCACCCCAAACTACTCCCTGTCCCTGAATTACAATAATCACTTTCATGTTGCTGTATTGGCCTGGCAACCCTTTCACTTGTCAAGTTCTTTGAGGATCAGCATTTATGTCACCTTTGTGCCCTTTTTACCACCCAAGTACTCTGCCTGACCTTTATTTCCACGCAGTTAGTACAGTTGTTAGTGGTTTGATGCCTCAGATTCCCTCATCAGAGTGGTTAATGTAAACAAAGCCACTTAAAATGGAATGGGAAGAGCATTGGCCCAAGGACTAAAGGGTTCGATTCCAGGCAAGGGCATGTACCTCGGTTGCAGGCTCAGTCCCCTGGCCTGGTCAGGAGGCAACCAATCAACATGTCTTTCTCACATCGATGTTTTTCTTTCTCTCTCTGTCTCTCTCCCTCCCTTCCACTCTCTCTAAAAAACAATGGAAATATATCCTCGGGTGAGGATTAACAACAACAAAAAATGGAGTGGGAGCTGCCATCCCAGAACTGCCTTGCACATCTTACTCCTCAAACCTTTGGAACATGAAAACAGGACAAAACAGCCTTTGCACTGAGCCTAAAGCAACACTGTATTCCAAACAAGTTTGCAAAGATAACAGGAAAGCAGACCTTAAGACTAAAACTGAAAATTAAAGGCATTCTTTAGAATCAGCATCATCCATGTTAGCTTATTTGCACCTTTAGAAAATCCTTTCTTAGCTTATTAACACCCATAAAAATTCCTTCCTTCTATTCAAGTAATTGTTCCCCTTTCCTTTCTCACTAATTGGCCTTCACTTCCTAATTAGAACACTATTTGGGTTTCTGCCTGAATCAGTGCTTCCTGATTGGAT